GAAATCAAAAGTCTTCTACCTACTGGCAATTGCAAAGAAACTGCCTTTCAAGTGAGCCAACCTTGTGCAGTGGCTGCGAGTTGTATCTTGCAGTACGTCAGAAGATGCAACAATAATGAGTAGCATACCAGAATAAATCTGATCTTTTCCTCAACTGTTCTTGCATTTCATTTGCTGATCTTTTTTACTTAGCTTTCCACAGCTACACATTAATCCCTTATCTTAAGCTTATATTCAGTATCACAGAAAGAAACCCACAAGAGTGGTCTGAAGACCTGTGTTGGGTCCAAACTTAATCATGGCCCAACCCCGTGGTAAGATTGTTATGGCAACTATATATACAAAAAGCAACCATGCTCAGTTACATCCTTTATTCCCACATTTGTTTGTCTAATGAGTTCTTATGTTAATATACAGCACAACCCAAAAAGATTAATGTTTCATACCTGGCCTACCTTTACTAAGCATACTGCAATAAATAATACTTTCTAGATCTTCACACACCACTAGAAAATATTCATCTCACTCCTGCAGAGAATTTATTCCATTCATGAACCAGGACATGTTTTTGCTACTTCCTGAAGGGCTCACTAGAAGCACTTGCTATCAACTTCAACAGATTTTTTTTTTAATTCAGTGATGAATGTTCAAAAATCCCCCTATGCAATTTAGTTCTACTGCTTCATTACTCTTTTTGGGGTAGCGTTTTACCTTTGGGTGTTTCTTAACACTCAGCTAGAAGCTTTCTTATTCCAATAATTTTGCATTATATTGAACATGTATGGAGAAACCATGTAAGTCAAATTCTTTTTGCATAAAGAAGTAAGTTAGATGACCATGTATGAAGGTCAGCCAGGCTCCTCTGATGATCAAAGGGAAACAAGCACTCTCAAAACAATTCCTTTATCTCCTTCCAACATCAGCAATTTCAGAAAAATTACTTCTCTTCAGCTCCTCTTCAGCTCCTCTTATATGACTATAGGAAACCTGTGTAACATTTGTGATGTGGACATACAGAAGTCAGGTTTCCTAAATTCACAAAGAGGAATCCTCCCTCTGGAAATGTAGAGCATGCCTACCACTCCTCAGGAAGCAAACAAAAAGGAGGCTGTGCTCACTCTGACCTTGCTCTACAACTCTGCCTTCCAACTTGTGCCTGCTTGAAACCCCGTGAATAGACATCCTAGCTGGTGTGCACTTTGACCATTTGAAACATTTACTAGCTTTGAAAAATGTATGAACATTAGTTTACAAAATTTTGCCATGTTTTATATAGCATCTAGGACAACATGTACATTTATATTTCTCCACATCATGAGACTGTATTGGTGTGAGTTGTACACAGTGTTTACATTGCCCAGATGTTGCTCAGAAAGAACCAATCAGACCTCTGAATGAAAACTTAAAAACTTAAACCTTGGTTGTATGACTGAACAGTTCTCTATTTCTTCTCCCTTATTAACCTATCTGTGATGTTAAAATTCATTTTTCCTAGGTCACAGGGACAACTCAAAACTCCCTTCCATGATCTTTACTTTGAGGGTGACAGAGCACTGGGAACAGGCTGTTGAGAGAGATTGTGGAGTCGTCTTCTCTGCAGATGTTCAAAACCTGCCTGGACATGTTCCTGTGCCATCTGCTCAAGGCCAACCTAATTTAGAGGTTGCTAGATGGTCAGATGTCGCTTCTAACCACCACAATTCTGTGATTCTGTTTCAAAGAATCCAGATGAGTTCCACAATTCCTTCTGGGGCTCACAGGTGAAAAGGCTGGTTGGTATCTCTAAAGCACACCTTAAATATAAGAGAAAAACTTCATAAGCCTTTTACTATTCCTCAGTCCAATCTCATTCACATAATGAACCACAATGAGCCAATCAGATGTGCCTCAAAAAACTTCCACTATGGGCAGATTAAGCATGAAAACCAAACCCTCTGGCTCACGACAGCGTTAGGTTTACAGCTGGACTTGATCTTAAAGGTCTTTTCCAACCTGAATGATTCTATTACTTGATTCTGTGACAATTGCTTGCTCTATAACCATTACAGCTATGTTCAAAATGGAAAAAAACAGCTCAGGAACTCCTTTTATTTGTGCATTAAAAAAAAAACCTGCTCAGAAACAGCTTCTGGCTTTCTGAAAAGTTTATACCGTGCTGTACAAGGCACAGCTGACATAACTACATAAGGGGAAAAAAATGTATTAAGAGGTCTGAGGCAAAATTTGCTGCATTTTGCGTTCACAGCAAAGTTAATGCATTCACTACTACATTCATTTACCTCCAAATCAGACACTGACAAACACCAGCCCGGACCATTAAAGAGCAGATTCCTTTCTCACCAACGGAATCTTAGATTTCAAGAGCAACACTAATTTCTCAACACATACAATTTTACCATATATTAGCAATACACCAGGTTGTTTTCAAAATTTTTCCACCAAGTTCCTGAATCGGGTACTGAAGCAAAGAACCCACCTGTTCACACAAAGGACTTTTATTCTTTAGAGTACCTTGTCTCACTTCATTTAATTGCGCTACAGAGAACAGTACTTTACAACCGAGATGGGAAACCCGTTTATAACCTGCATGCACCAAGCTCCTAGAACCACCAAAAACCCCAAACAGAGCTGGCCACTAGATGGCCTCTGGACAGCAATTTTATGCAACTCGGGCAGCTACCACTAGATGGCAGCTACGTATCACCGGCTGATTGCAGTATGCAGGTAAGCTCAGTGAAGACGTTTATTGTCCTTCCATTGACTGTAATGAAATTTTAGAAGCAAACTTCACTGTTTTATACTTAAAACAAAAGCAGTCCGCCCTCAACCCCCTCCTAAGATCTTTCTACCAGCGCTGTATGTAACAGTCACAGGAGGAGGTGGGCACAAGCCATTCTTTCCATGCTCCTCTCACTGGAGAACAGTTCCTGATACTGTTCTCCAGCATTTTAGCCAAGGAAGCTTATTCTAGGCTCTCTGCGGCCTGCAGTTCTAACTGCAGCTTTTAAACATCTCTGGCCTGGGGGGGAAAAAAAAAAAAAAAAAATTATAGCCATACTGTAAATTTTTGTTTTAATTCCTGCTCTCTTTAATCAACACGTATCAACTTTATGGAGACTTCTGTCTCCTTAATATAGGGACAAAAATACACCATCCACTATTCAGGATCTACCATTATTAAGTTAAGCTCATTTCTAATTTAGTTCTCCAATTTCCCCAAGGAAAAATTAGTGAAAATTCATACTACAGGTCTATAAATACTACGAGGTTTTGTGAAGTCCTCACACTATGAACACAAACAACAAACTTTATCAATTTCCATATGTAACCAGTACCTGTAACAGCCAACATAGATCTCAATCAAGCAGCCACCTGCTTAATTATCTTGCAATGTGAGAGCACTCATTTTATGCATTTCATTCACAGGGAAAGTTGGCAGCAACAGTCACAAAATAATAAAGAAATATTATGAACTGTAGAGTATTTTTGTCAAATGCGTAAAAGTAGTGGCCTGTGCAGTCAGTCTCAGCTAAACAAGTATTCAAAGAGAAAGTTTCCAGTTTATCCAAGTAAATGTCTGCGTTCTTGAAGGTGGACACAAGGTTCTGGTCAAGCAGGTTTGGACAACTGCATGCAAGTATCACCAGAGACTTTGATTTCACTTCAGCTTCTGCTTAGCAGGATTTTTACCTACTGTCGTGCTTCTAGCTACAAACAAATGTCTGCTTCCAGCTGCGGTTTTAATGACTTAAAGCATATTAGAGAGCCAACAATCCACTTGACCTTCAAGCGCAGTGCTTGTGAAGGCCTGAATCAGGATTTAAAAGCAAGAGCAAGTTCACACAACACAGAACCTAAATAGGTTAAATACAAAAAGTTGTAGCAGAAAGAAAAAAAAAAAGAGAAAAATGAAGCCATATACCTCTTTGCCCCCAAAATATAAACCAATCCTATGGTCCAACTACAGAAATAGGTCAAACTACAAAACTCACTTCATTACTCCCTAGATGTATTTATGTTTTTGCTACAGGAGGTAGGCACATGTTTTTATCCCAAGATGCAAACACCACACTGTCTTAGTACATTGTATGCCAGCACAAAAAAGACTTCTGTGAAAGTTCTGTAATCTGCATCTGTAAGAGTTAAATAAAGACACTGTGAAACACACTGAAGAATGAACTAAGATGAGATCTAGATTTAAAGGCATAAAGGAGATTTCAGTGGATAATGAAACGGCTTTCGTCCCGATGAATGCTAAACAGAACAGCGTTCCCAACACCAAGGTTCCAGCCAAGCTGCCAAACACATTTATTTCAGAAAGGGAAAATATGATCAGAAATTAGAAAGAAATATGGCATGGAATTGGCAAAACAGAAGCAGCTTATTTATAGAAGTAACTTAGAGGAGCTAAATCTGATTTTGCTCAATGCAGTACATAAGTTACAAGACATGCACAGTGGACAAGGTACCTGAAGAAGTGCTATAGTGGTGCTGGTCACACTCAGACATAACCTGAAGACATCACATTTGTAGACACTAGAGGTTAGTTCGACCTGAAAACGAGCATGGCTGGATTTGTTTCAGAAATCCACCCACAGCTATTTAATTCACCATGCTAACATCAGCAACTTTTATACGGTGCATCATTTCCCAAGGTTTTTCTACTTCAGATTGCCAGATTTCTGTGATCATGCCTCTAATTCAAGCTGGTAGTCCAACTAGATCTTCCCAATTCATAGGTAACAGTGCAGCCTTGTAATGCCTCAAAACATTTCCTATGATTTTGCTTTGTCCCCTTATTGGTGACAGATGCCACAGAAAAAATGCAACATATTTGCTACAACTGGAAGAGGAAGTGTTTATATCCTAGTACAGGTTAAAAAAAAAATCCATTCATTACAGTATATTAATGCAGTTTATCACAGCTATCTTTTATATTCCATAGAAAAAATGTACAAACAAGATATACCTTAGTAGGTCTGCAATACAAGATAACTTACTGAAAAATGCCAACATGAAGATGCCATCATTGCCCACTCTAAGCTGATCTGCATCACTGAAATCATCCCGTGGTGGATACTCTTCTTCCTGGATTTACAGGTTAGTGATAGTTTAGTGAAAAGTTTATTTTAGAATAACTATCTGTAGGATTAAAGTATTATTTATGGTCCTAAAGCTAGAAGAAAACTGACATTTCTGTACCATGTCCACATCAAGGAAGTCTTAAAGAAAATTAATTCATATCTAAAAACCAAGTCTTATTTGTTGCTTATATTAACAAAGCCCAAATTCTCTGTAAAATTTTTATAGAAGATATGGACATACTGCCCATTCATCTTAAATGAAACTAAAAATTATTTCAGATGAGTACTTTGGCAATCAAAACCAACATAAATCTCTTTTTTCTTTTTCTGTAACCACCTTGATATGCAGCCAAGCTATTATTTCTTTTGAAAAGTCATCACATAGCATGTTCTATTTTTTCTTTCTCCCAGAACAGTTTTCTGCTGCTTCCCAAAATATACAATACAGCTTTAGAATAATATTAGTATCTTAAAATAAACTGCTGATGCAACAGCCCTGCACTAGCCAAGCTGACTGTCCTATAACCCACAGGAAAACATCACAAAGCAAAGCAAACCTCTGGGGACACCAGAGGGCGCGAGCACATCGGGAGTGTTTGAAAGTCCTCTTGATGTCAGTCAAAACAGTCTAAAGTTTTCTCTCGTTGTGTCAAAATATCAGGTGTCAAAATACCGCACGCACAAGTTTTTTTTTCTTTCTCAGCACTCGAATTTTAACAGAACTTGGCAGATCTCAGGTATGCAGTTCTGTGCACATGTAAAACATTGTGGCCACCAGAGACTGGGAAACAAGTTTTCATGGTGCCAGCACTTAGGAAAGAGCCTGATGAAAACTGTAAAACTAGTTAAATATGCCACTTTTATACTTAAATGAATGATGTCAAAACAACATGGATTATACAAGTTAACTAATGCTGTCAGTAGCACCAGTAACACGGTCTAGACATAGGCATGAGAAAATATTTTTTTCTCCAATTCATCATAATGCCTTAGAACAGAGATAATAACCTATTAAAAAAAAAAAAAAAAGAGATCAAGGGGGATCAGCTCTCAAGCAAGATTTATTAAAGCTGTTTCACCTACAGCAAACATTACTAAAACAATAAAATTCTGATTTTAAAACATTACTCACTGTACCAAATGTTATTTTGTTCATTAAGTTCTTTACTAAAAGGACATTGGGACAACTACAGTAATCTAAAGCTCTGTCATGGGATTGATATGTTCACCTTTGTCAACACAAAAATAATTTACCAGGGTATAGCAATTATGGTCAAAAACATGCTAGAACGAACCGTACCAACAACGGGCAGCCAGCTTCACCCCTCACAACATGCCTGTGAAACTCCAGCTCTTTTTATTTCAGACTCATTAACCAAGATTCTGTATCAGATAACCTAGTGTAAAACCACTGCTATTCACCTAGACAACTCCAAGGGAAGCACAAAAAGCTAGCTGAACAACAAGCTGCAGCAGCTACAATTTAACACTACGTAATTTCAGATGTCCCTAAATGGTCATCTGAAGTGACTAGGAAAGCATTAGTTTATTTAGCTCAGCTCTGCTGCAGCTACAAGACTGATGGGGGGGAAGGGAAGGGAAGGAAGGGCTGAAAATACACTGAACAAAGAGCTGCATTTGAATGTGACTGTCTCTGAAACACAGGCCAACAAAGTTCCTTTTTCAAGTCAGGACAATAAAAAATATTTTCAATTTTCATTTCAGAGAGTCTATAAAAACCTATATAATTTTTTTATAGATTTTTTTTTTTTACACTGTCTGCTAACTACTGTACTTCACCCTGGCATTTCCAAACCAGCTAGTGAATTACACTCTATGCAAAAAGTTGCTTCAGTAAATAAAATTTTGCTCAACTACAGTAACAAGTTTCTCAAGTAACAAGTAACAACATTCCTCTATATGCACAGGCTTCTCTAAGGCTTACACACGTGGGAAATGCAGGTCAATACACGACCCAGGGACATGAAAGCAGGCATTTTTTGCAAGGAGGTACTGTTGCAGTGTGAAAAAGTTATAATTGATCACACTCCATGTCAAAAGGGAATTACATTAAACCTACTTCTATTTACTGTCTCCAAAAACTGGCATATGAAAATTATTAGAATGTTTAAGAAATTAAATGGTTTCCTGTGCTTAAATGACATTCAACCTATAACTACCTCATTCAGTACTATGTGGTTTTATGATCAGTCCTGCAGATGGAAGATACTAACTTGCTACTGCTCAAGCCCCACTAATATTGGCTCTTTCACAGTGCTCATTTGACCTATTTGGTGTCAACTGCCCCAGCCTTTCTTCATCTATAATTGTTTGCCACCATTACCTGAGAAATGGAAAGGGACAATGAAAGGACAATAGCCGTCCTCTGCTGATGCTCAGAACTAAATGCGATTTCATAGTAATATTGTTATGAGATATTGACATTTTTAGAATAATTATACACTTTCTTTTTACATATGTATTTTCTTTTTATTTAGAACGATGTCATGTAACATCACACAAATCCATAGAGTATATAATACTGTTTCAGTATGCCATATTGATTTCTGACCAACTCAGCCATGTTAAGGCTCATGGACAATACTTCTTGTTTGCTAAATATGCTGATATCTGGATAAACAGAAAACTTATTGTTTCTACGACCAGAGAAACATCTAAACAGCAAAATGTATTTTCAACATAAATGGCACGTGACACGGAGTGATTTCTCTCAGCTAAAGAACATTGAAAGGTACACAGCATCTACTGAAGTCAAACCTATTAACTCACCTAAACTACAGTGCCTTCTGTAGTATTCTGCAAAACGAGTACTGTTTTTTTTTTTTCCCAAAGTGCTTTTAATTTCTTTTAAGTTGAAACCTACTACAGCGTACAGTGAGACAACCACCTTTAACCAAGTGAAGGATCCGAGTGTTCAGTAACTCCTTACATAACTAAACTGATAGAACTCTTCTCAATGCAGTGGAAACTTCTAAGGAAAGGGTCAAACTACTTAATAAACCCCATAAACGACACTTTCAGCATAAAAACAATATGGAGAAGTTAATGGCGGGGGGAAAAAAAGCATGTTTGCCAGCAGGAAAATTCATAGTTAACGTCTAAACTAGAGAGAACTATACCATACCTCTGGACGACTGAGGAATATTTCATCAAACAGACTCCTAGATTCCCTAAACTGGGCGTGCTAAGCATGTAAAAACAGAAAAATGTAAGACAAATGCAACTGAAAAGCATTAAGTAAAAGCCATTCATTGCAAAATACAAACAAGTCATTTAACTGTTAGCAATATTTGTCCATTTAAATTGACCTTTCAAAGCTGACCTTCAGCATTTGAAAACATCACAAGGCAGCATAACTAATGCCATCACTACTGATGGCATAGGGCTGCTACAACTTCTTTGACACACTGAGCTATCTGGGAGCACTTGAAAGAAATGTATATACACAATCTGTTCTTGCATGATAAACTACACAAAGAACTACAGAAACAAATACTGAAAGCTTCAGTAAATGTCAAATTTAGATTGTTCCTACAATCTGTGGGTGCAGGGCCTATGATGATGTCTTTAATATGATCACACTTATTTTTTTAATTCAGAAGGAAACATATTAAACTGTTGAAATGTGCTACCTTTTTAAACCATTTTCCTCTCTTTTGTTCAATGAGGTTTGTAGCCTTCTTTACTGCAAACTTTGCATTATACCATGAAACAGTTATCAGCTTCATGCATCACTCAAGGCAACATAAGGGCATTTAATTTTTTCCAACTGTTCACATTACTGCAGTCAAGGCAATATCCTGATTTTACAAGTAAGAAACTAGAGGCACAAATCACAGCAGAGTTCACATTCAGAACGGCACTAATTTCATAGGGCCAAAAATAAAACCTAAAAGCCCTACATGTGATATCCTCTGTGTATGTTTTACAAATTGTGTAATAGACAAGTCAGATACTGTCTGCAGCTGTCACTGCTTGTGATGACCCAAGACAGTGAAAAGTGAGAAAAGAATTAACTACGTACCAGTAATGCAAAGTTTAAGTCATTTTTCTGTTCTTCTGCAGGTATTCAGACCTAAGGATCAAAATCCTTCTCCTCAAGATGGCAAATCACCACTCTAACCACAACATGACCTTTTTTTTTTTCTCCTTATTCCAGTCATCTGCCAGATTAAGATGGCCTTATTGCACAGTCTTAAGTCCACTCCAGTGTAAGTCCACCAGAGGTACTAAATAAGGCAGGGATTTTGTGGCATTATCATGGGGTAAGGTAATTAAAATGGCATTAATTAAAATTGTGCTGGCACATAATTTTAATATCATCTACAAAACTGGAACTCAGCTACAGCAGCTCCTATTTTTTCCCAAAATCTCTTTTTTGCAATCTTAATGCTGTTTCTTTAATATAGGTTGTGTATGTGCACGCATGTGTTTTAAAAAAAAAACAAAAACAAAAACTTAAAAAACATAGCAGCAAACTGAGCAGAAATTCTATCATACTTGAGGTCTTCAGCAGTGAGCAGGACTGTGGCTTTTAGGTACACTCAGCAGAATTCTGATAGTAACAGTAGTGTGGTAAATCTACAATTTCTGATGTGTCCGTATGTATGAATGATGGTGTGTTCCTACTGATTTTTTATCAGTAAGTAAACTTCTTGTGGTGTTGGCACCTAGTTCTTGAATGTCAAGTTTAATCTATGTTTTGGAAAAAACAGACTACGTAAAAGTTTATTTCTGACTTCATCACCACATCCTACTCTCCTACCTCTTAACTCCAGATTCCTTCTCCCTCCCTACTCCTGTTTTCTCACACAGCAGCTTCAGGTCCTTTCCCAGTACCACACGTTGTCTCGCTTGAGTTCCTTTCTCCAGCAACCCCAGTTTATCCTTCTCCCTCCAGTTTCTCATTTAAATCTCTTTGTACTCCCTCCATTCACCCTTGCCTTTTCTTATTTTGAATTGAACCCAGCCTCTCTGAATACTATGGGTGTTCACTTTGAGTCAGTCACCTCCCTTCCCAACCAAGCCCAGCCTTCCCCTTCCACACCACCTAAGATTTAGAGGCTTAGAGTCATTGTCCTTCTTCCCTCCACCTATCAATGCCCTTGCAGTTGAATCAAGTGGCTTTCCCCTTCCATTCTAACTGAAGCCCCAAAATAATAAAACTACTTCAGGGCACACCAGAAATTCCTAAGTCTCAGTTCCAGTGTTTTCACCAAAAGCAGTCAAGAGCAGTCATAAGATGTATCCACTTTTAGTCCTGTAATTCTGCTCCAGTAGAGAAGATTTGAGAACGTTCTCTGGGGACAGTATATCTGGAGTCCGGTTCCACTCAGAGTTATGAGCAGTCTTAACTTGCTCATGCAAGACAATCTCCACTAAGTCTGAAGCTGTGGAAACTTGTTTTTGAAAAAATTGTAATTTGGTTAAAACCAGGCAGCTTTTCTCAGGAAGGGTAAAAAATGTTTCTGACACAGTGACTTGAACTTGTAAGAAAGAGTTCTCTGAATTAAAAGGGAAAAAGAAGCTAGAATGACAAGCCAAAAACCACCGTTTGTTTGTGGTGGTTTGTTTTTTTTTTGTTGTTGTTTTTGCTTAGCTTTGTTGTTAAAATGGGCTGAACCCCAGCCTGAGGTTGTCCCTGGGAAATTCACACCAAGGAAGATTGCTTGTGTGTCTGAAACTTTCACCCCATAGGGTTCTACAAATATGAAGTTAAAAGCAACAAGAATCTTCCAAGAAAGTTGCCCATGTCCTATCTGAAGTGTCACAGGACTCATAATGGAACCCTAAAAGTTAAGGTTTGGTTGGGTTGCTAGTGTTCCAACTAAGTTTCAAGGTTTATAACTTCAGTTGGAAGGTTCCATTCAGACCAGTATTTCAGCAGAACTTTTACCTATATGACAAGCAGTAAGGAGAGACTACCTAGAGTCCATACGCCTGTTAAAGCAGTTGAAAGGATACAACTGGAGATCATCACCTCACAGCAGAAGCCTGGCAGGTAACCATGCACATGTCAGGGAAGTCAAGGAAGGAACAACCTCCTGCTGGGCGAGTGGAATGTTTCCAGCCACCAGCACACTGCAGTCCGTAAAATATTAGCTGCATCTCAAATGCAATCACATTTGATCCCAAGGTGAAGATTTTTAGTGAAAGCACTGGAAATCTAATTTGGGTATGGCATCTTATGGCCCAAACTACTGAACAGCAGAATTTCCACTTTCCAAAACTTGGGGGTGGGGGGGAAATGGAAAAGCTTGGCTTACAAAAGTAATATTGAACACTAGTTACAGATATCAGTTTTCTATTTTGAAGACTGTATTCTTTATAATATTAATTCTTACAAAGCTATAAACACTGATTATATGCCTATTACTTAATTTACTGTTTACCATAACTCGTGGTGTGGGGTTTTTTTTGTTTAAGTGCTTGGAACATTTCATTGAACTTCAGTACTAAAGTTTTCATGGAGCAAACAGGGACCTTTCCTTTTAAAAAAGATCTACATTATTTGAAGTTTTGCCCCTTCTAGATTGTTTGAATTCTCCTTCCTCTCTAAAGGTCTACTTTGCTCATTTTTTTAACCATCTAGCTATCAGCAAAGACTCTACAAAGTAACATTAGTAGTGGATACCCAATTAAAAGATGACAAAATACGGAATAAACTATTAAAGCAGAGTAAAATTTGGCAGCTATGCCTCTGAAAAGAGTGAATGAATGATACAATTTTCATAGTATTTTACAAGTAACTTACACTATCAATACAATATGTAAGAATCAAAAATATTTAAATCACCAGCCTATAATTATTTAAATAAACAGGCCATAACAGAGGCCCAATTGATACAGATAACTAGATTAGCCTAACATGATTCAAAAAATTGAAATAAAGCAGAATTGTGTCACTTACTCGCTGGGCAACTTCTGCTGCAGCAGCTGCCATGGCTGCAGCTTTGGCCTTCTCTGCTTCATCGTAAGTAGGAAGAGAGGTAGCTACACTGTATGGAGGTGGTACAGGATAAAATTCATTGTGTGTTTCTGTTCAAAATAAAGAGGTTATGCATTTTTAAGCCAGAAAGATGTCAAGAATAATAAATTTTACATGCACATAACTACTGAGTTTTAAAGCATTTTTTTTTCAACAGAGGCTGGAATTGATGGTATTTGTATTTCAAATTAAGTTTTAAAAGCCACTATTTTTATAAAACAAGATAGTTAACAGCTTGATGGTGCTTTTAGTTGTTTATCTAGGCAGAAACCTTAACGTAGAACTTTAACCTCCCCTGCAAGGAGCCAACAAATTTATGAACAAAAAAAGCTGTATTTGCTGAGTTACATCCCTATGCATTCCAACCAAAGGCTTTTTATCAAATCATACAAAAGACAGGTGCAGAAACATTCAAAAACAGCTTTTAATTATCATCAAATAGTTACTTAAGTCCAGTAATAATCACACTGTATTTTTATTAGCATGGCCTTGCTGCTATCAGTTGTTCTGTGAAAATCAGTGTTTCCAAGTTCTCCGTTTCACCACATTGTTTTTAAAATGTCCCTTTTATAAAAACAGAACACTGATTTTGTTCTTATACACTGGAATATGAAAACATCATCATACAGAATTTTTTAAAAAAATGAACAAAAACTATTTTAAATACACCTTGAGCTTCCTCCAAGAGCCAGCAGTAATTTGTAACAAGATTGCTTACACGGAAAAGATTCGTCAGCAGAGGTCACATGTTAAAAAGATGCGTCAGCACACCAACACAAAGGTGTTATATACAAGGATAATTCTGTCTAGTTATGTATTATACTTGCAAACACTGTTTCAAGGAACACAGAAAGGAAACTGCTCCTTACATCAATATTCAGAAAATTAGGTTAGAGGTTACTTCTATTTACTTACAATAGTATTTTATAACTTACTTATAATTCTATTTATCATAATATTTACTTGACACATGGGAGATGGAAATCCAAACAACTCTCCTTAAACAGAAACTTCTGTGTTGCCTGTTGTTGTCTCCCATATCACCAAAGAAAAGTAACAACCTCATAAGAAAGGAAGCAGTGAATAAATGGAAAAAACCACCCCTGTTACTTGTTTTTCACATGAAGTTTTATCAAGAGCCTTTAAAGCAAAATCAGTCTTTCATTGGCAATATTATCACCAAACCACAGCAGTCACTTAAGAAGTCCGAGTTTTGACAAATCAGTGCTTTGTTTTGTTTGTTGATTTTTTTTTTTTATAGAGGCAATGAAAATTGCTAATGAGGTCTAATAATGGAGCACTACTCAAAGACGTAGATTAAATGTGGAACTTAACTACACGCAGACTTAAATAAAACTTATTACACTAATTAATGAACATCCACTTAGTCTAGTAATTTGGAACAATCGGTGTAATTTCGAAGTGTGCTTTTTCTGAACAAACCAGAGAAAGAGCTGTGCTTGAAAACGTGGATTTTTACTGCAATTGTGTGCGTAGAAAGAAAAATAAAACCCAAACCCCAACCCACCCTGCAGCATCGTACCACTCTGGAGCAAGTGCTGATTCATACACACGCCTCCCTGACGGGCTGTTATGCAAGAGAAATACCTGAGGCTGCAGCAGCTTCCACAGCTATGCTACAGTAAGGTGGAGGGGAAGTGTCTGCTTCGGGTGAAGCTGCTGCCTGGGGAGCCTGCGTGGTCTCTGCAGACGTGGAAGGCTGCTCAGCTGCTGAAGGCTCTGGGGGGTCATCTTCATTGTGAAGCTTAGGAGAAAAACACACAAACTTCAGACACATTCTGGGAATACTTTCCGTGACAGCCTAGGACTTGCAGAACCAGCTTCAAAATAAAGAGAAGATTACTCTTCAATAAAACAAAAATTATTTACAAATGAGCATGTGACTACTTTAAGCAGTGGAAACCAGGACATCCAGTTAAATCCTTTTAAGTGAACAGCTGAAGATAATCTTAACTGCATTTTTTCATTTCCCACAGAAATTGATTTCTTCTCATCAAAGATGTTCATGGAGTCTTAAAGATCGGGGGGGAGGGGTTTAATGTTTACTATATGGGAAAATGCTAACTATCAGACATGTTACATTACATGAATTTTTAAAAACTATTATACTTCTTTTCTTACATTCATAAAATGTATTCATCCACTTTAAAATACAATAGGTGAGCAACATTATCTTTTATTGTATTAATCTAGAAGAATTTAAAAAAATGAGACATTTTTACTTCTGTAACTGAGAACTTGATACTATTTCATCTTGTCAGTTTCCCCACTCAAACTCTAAGACTTTTCAAAACACTCTGGTATTCTTTACAGTCTGGAAAGAATCCTTTCCCTAAAAAAAAAATCTTTAAGTTGATGGTTAATTTGATTGCTTGTTTTTTAAAAAAATGCAGTTTCAGAAGGGCATATCCAGTTAAGCATATACAGAAGAAAGAATTTGGATAAGCAAGAATCTTGATTAAAACCATGAAATTCAGATCCAGCAACTAATATATTTTCTTAGAAAAGGTATTTTTTATTGTTCTAGCTAACATGATAGTGTTTACAATATGAATCAAACTTGAAGAGGAATACTAGAATTAAATAAGTGCTAGCTCCCACTAGAGTAAAGTACAAGACAAGACGCCTAGAAGGCAACCACTGAGAGAGACTGTGTAACTTCAAATTGGTAGTTTCTAAGAATGTTATACGTAAAAATATTGATACAACTACATTAACTTCATAGTAGACAATGTACTGTCAAATTATTAGAAAAAGCACCTTCTGAGAAGCAAGCAAGCCAAATTCCTTTTTAAGTACTGTGATATACACACCAAAATTGGTTTATATCCAGAGTGCATCAAAGTTCACAAAGTGGTTGAGGCTGGAATGGGCTTCTGGAGGCCATCTGGTGCAACCCCCCTGCTCAAACAGGGCCACCTACAGACAGTTGTCAAGGACCACGTATAGATGGCTTTAGAGTAACTCCAATGATAGCGACTCCACAACCTCCTTGGGCAACCTGTGCCAGTGCTCAGCCAGCCTCACCTTACAAAAAAAAAAAAATTAAAAATAGAATAAACGAAAAAAAAAAAAATTAAAAAAAAGTTTCCTGATGTTGACAGAGAACCTGGGAATCTCCTGTGTTTCTGTGTGTGCCCACCACCTCTGGTCCTGTCCCTGGGCACCAGGGAACAGCTCCTGTCTCCGGGCCCTTTGCACTCTGGTATAGACTGAAGAGATGCCCCCTGGGCCTCCTCTGCTCCAGGCTGGGCAGTTCCAGCTCGCTCAGCCTCCCAGCAATTTTCATGGCTTTTACCACACTCTTCTCTTTACATGCATCAAATTAGAAAAATTACTTGCTAGAGCATTTTCACCCTTTCTCAAGAGCCCCTTCATATACTGTATTCAGAGAACTACAGCTTAGTTAATATATAGAGATAAACTCCTATCTGTATTTGCACACGCATACGTAAGTGTACATACACACAGGCACGATACACAACGCAAGCCCACACTATCAAGGAGAAGTCACCTCCACTGGAACTGATAGGGGTTACTGAGGCATTCTGAGAACTAACCAATCAGGTCCTTCAGTGCCTAACTGGTGATCCAGAAGAAACAGTAATCTGGGAAATATGTATAGCTATTTAGAGTGGTTAAGGTCAAAGGAAACAAAAACCACTTCAAAATAATCCAATACATTTAGGGATAGAGAAAGCAAGTGAGAAGATGATACACCCAGTTCAAGAAAGGTCATGCAGGTCAGAAAAACAGCCTGAGAGCTCTCAATGCTGTGGTTCTAAATTAAGCACAATTATTCACCAGAAAAATCTAGTATTGCAATGGATGCAGCTAAAGTAAAACCATTTTTAAATAAAACTGTCACTTGATAAGCAATGATACAAATAACAGAACATTACAGGCATACTTTTATACTAATGGCTGGCACACACCCTCACTTGGGATGCATGTAGCTCTGACAGCTTCGACCCAACAACCTGGTCTACAAGCAGGGGCAGAAGTAAAGCCTAGTTAATGGATTTCTGGCTGTTATCTCCATTTTTCCTCTCCATTCACCCTCCACTTCAATCACTGAAACTTTTTTCCCCTACCAAGCCATAGTATGTGCTGTCACTCCCTTGAAAACACGACGAGATCCACAGCAGCTGATCGGTCAAACCCCACATTACTGCTCAAAACCCACTTTGACATTACAGAGGAAATTAATCTGGTGCTCTACATGCTTTCTTTAAAGTTATCTTTCTCCAGATCATTTGTAATTTAATAACAGTTGGAAGTAATGGAGGTAACATGAGGATGAGAGAACATGCAGATAAGACTTCTTGCCTTCAAAGACACAGAGTTCACAAGTCATTCATTTGTTGTTGCAACCTCAACTAGGACACAGAAAAATTCCATCCTAAAGGCCCCATAACAGAAGAGTCTCGTTATGCCCTTTACTGCATTCAATTAGTCTTTAGTTTGTAGAACTCACGTTCAGGGAGCAAGGATTCCTATTTATCCTGTCTCGTACTATACAGATTTTTTTTTAAAATTCTAAAAGGCATAAAGGTCATCCCAATGTAGCATGTTAAAGAAAAAAAATGTAAGACTCCTCACAGAATAAAAATCACAAGTAGTGGATTAAACAGCTGGAACATTTACAGCTAGAGCAATGAACACCAGTTGTTCCATGAAGAGAAACCAGCTTTTCTTAGTTCTCATTTCAATGTCCTGTCTCCTCGTCTTTGCTCAAGGCAGTAACTTAAGCTCCTCTGGGAGGACTCCACTGGGGTAAAAACCAAACCAAAACAATAAAAACCCACAACAGCAGCAGAATTTGCCCCAGCAAGCTGGAAATTTTGCCTATGCCAGCAGGGTAGACAGTGGTGGTTGTATCACTTTGTCTTGTAGCAGCTCTGCCTTCTCTTCACAAGGCAACGATTCTCCTCTGTGCAGTCACCAGTTTGCTTTAAACCAGTAGGAATCCAACTAACTTTGAGCCTCCCCATTCCCATTTAATTTTGGCTTACACTGGCTGGTAAATTTAGAAGTTATTTTTGGAGACAGGGGAAGAAGAGGCCTGACACCCTGCATAGGTTTCATTGCCATAGAAACCAAGCTAAAAACACTCAGAAGGGAACAGAAAACGCCTGTTTCAAGGCATGACTTATGCTGTGTACTCAAATGTTACCTGCAGCGGCATTTACCACTGAAACTATAAGAATCCTATCTAAGATTTTTTTTTTCCTCCCCAATAGTAAGATCATTCTTCACACTTTTTTAATTAAAGGACTAAGTAGAACTCACAGTTCATCATCCCAACCCCCTCGCCAGGACCTAGTAAACTACAGACAACTGTAAATTAGTACCTTCCCCAGCCCCTCACCCTCACAGGGACACAAAGACACTTTTTTCTTTCACATCTTAGTCTATAGACAGGGTATCTGCCTGACTATATGAAGCTTTACCATTTAAAAAAGAGGAATATTTTGTTATTCCACATACTACTCTTAAACCGTTTATACAACTTTTTCAGTCTCTGCTGTTGCAGCCCTTGAACTGCAGCACATTAGAGGCTCAAAAGTCATGATGGTCACATTCTCAAGATACATCTCTGTTAGGACACTTCAAATTCAAAGTTCAACAGAGGAGCAATGGCTCCTTCCTGACCAGTGACTCAAAATCTCATGGTAATTACTAAGGAGTGTACAGGACATTAGTTTCCTTCATATGATTTTTTACCCTATACTGTCTTCAGTTTCTTTCTATAAAACAATGGTTCACTATTTCATTTCAGAAGAAGTTACAATCAACGTCAGACCTTCTGGTACCAAAATACTGTGGAAAATACAGCTATCTGTATTTTATAATTAAAATAATAATAATAGTTGCTCTAAAGAAGTACTGCATCTCCTCCTGTAATTTACTGAAGTCTATTATGTTGTCTGTGCAGTTATTTCCAAAGTAACCAGATGCAATGCCCAAAATCAACTCACACCCTACAAAGAACATGAACCACAAGAAAATGTTTAGTGCAGAAGCCTTTAGTAAGGGAACTGATCAGGATGTTTTTAGTCTACAGGTTTTTCAAAATAAAAAAAATTAAACTTCACTTCAGTATCAGATTTTATCCTCTACCAGTATGGTAGTTTACAAGAATGTGATGCTTTTTCTTCACATTCCAGTTGTAACACCAAACTATCACAAACCCCTGCAGAGAAGGCAGCAGGAAGACAGCAATTTGCCACTCGGGACCAAACGCACCCTCCTGAAACACAAGCCTGGCCACAACTAGAGAAACACTTCAGAGAAACAGAGGATCATAAAATCATTTTGGTTGGAAGAGACCTTTAAGATCATCAAATCCAACTGTCAACACAGCACTGCCATGTCACCACTAAACCGTGTCCTAAATAACACATGTACACATCTTCTAAATCCCTCCAGGGACGGGGACTCCACCACTATCCCTGGGCAGCCTGTTCCAGGGCTTGATAACCCTTCCAGTGAAGAAATTTTTCCTAATATCCAACCTAAACCTCCCTGGCACAACTTGAGGCCATTTTCTCTTGTCCTATCATTTGTTGCCTGGGAGAAGAGACCAACTGCCACCTCGGCAAAACCTCCTTTCAGGCAGCTGTAGAGAGTAAGGTGTTCCCTCAGCCTCCTTTGCTTGAGGATAAACAAGCCCTGTCCCCTCAGCCACTCCTCAGAAGACTTGTGCTCTAGATCCTTCACCACCTTCCATTGCCCTTCTCTGGACCTGCGCCAGCACCTCAACATCCTTCTTGTGGTGAGGAGCCCAAAACTGAACACAGTATTCAAGGTGTGGCCTCACCAGTGCTGAGTACAGGTGGACAATCACCTCCCTACTCCTGCTGACCACAGTAGTGATGATACAGGCCAGGATGTCATTGGCCTCCCTGGCCACACTGCTGGCTGATATTCAGCCAGCTGTTGACCAACACCCCCAGGTCCTTTTACTGCCCGGCAGCTTTCCAACCACTCCTCCCCAAGCCTGGGGGCATTTGGCCTTGTTAAACCGTTGGCCTCGGCCCATTGATCCAGCCTGTCCAGATCCCTCTGTAAAGCCTCCCCACCCTCAGGGAGATCACTACTCCTGCCCAACTTGGTGTCATCTGCAAACTTGCTGAGGGAGCACTCTATCTCCTCATCAAGGTGACTGATAAAGATGTTGAACAGAAATGGCCCCAATTCCGGATACTAGGGAACACCACTTGTGACTGGCCACGAGAGGGATTTAACTCCATTCACCAGCACTCCTTGAGCCTGGCCATCCTGCCAATTTTTTATCCAGCAAAGAGTATGCCTGTCCAAGACACGAGCAGCTGGTTTCTCCAGGTGAATGTTGTGGGAAATGGTGTCAAAAGCTCTACTGAAGTCTATGTAGACAATATCCACAGCCTTTCTCTCGTTCATTCTGTGGGTTACCTTGTCACAGAAGGAGATCAGGCTAGTCAAGCAGGACCTGCCTTTCACAAACCCATGCTGACCAGGCCTGATCGTCCAGCTGTCCTCTACACACCACATGAAGGTATTCAAGACTAACTGCTCCATAACATTCCCCAGCATTGAGGTCAAACTGCTAGGCCTGTTGTTCCCCAAATCCCCCTTCTGCCCATTCTTGTAGATGGGTGTCATGTTTGCTAACCTCCAGTCAACTAGTATCTTCCCACTTAGCTAGGACTGCTGATAAATAATGGAAAATGGCTTGGTGAGCACTTCTGCCACCTCCCTCAGTATCCCTGGGTGGATTCCCTCTGGCCCCAAAGACTCGTGTGTGTCTGACTGGTGTAGTAGGTCACTGCCCACTTCCTCTTGGATTATGGGGTCTTCACTCTGCTCCCTGCCCCTGCCATCTAGTTTGGGGTTCTAGGCACACAGAAGACAACTGACGTTACTACTGAAGACATTCAGTACCTCAGCCTTTTTCTCATCTTTGATCACTATGTTTTCCCCCTACATCCAATAAAGGATGGAGATTCTCCTTAGCTCTCCTTTTGTTGTTTATGTACTTAGAGAAACATTTTTGTTGTCCTTTACAGTAGTAATCACATTAAGCTCTAGCTGGGCTTTGACCCTTCTAATTTTCCCCATGCATAGCCTCCTGAAATCTTTTTTGTCTTACTGAGTGACCTGCCCCTTCTTTCATAGGCCATAAACCTTTCCTCCTGAGTTCTGGCCAAAGCTCTCTGTTCAGCCAGGCTGGTCTTCTTCCCCAGCCACTTGTCTTAAGGCACACCAGGACACCCTGCTCCTGCACCTTGAAGACTTCCTTCTTGAAGTACGTCCAGCTTTTCTGGACTCCTTTTCCCTTCAAGACTGCCTCTCAAGGCATTTTGTCAATCAGTGTCCTAAAGAGGTCAAAGTCTGCCCTCCAGAAGTCCAAGGTGGCAGTTCTACTGATTGAATAATTTCAGGATCACTATGCCCAAGACAGGCTCCAACTTCCACATCACCCACAAAACCTACTCTGTGAACAACATCCTATAGAGACCAGGAAGCCTTCAGATGAATAAATATTAAAGTACTAAGTACTACATTCCATTAAAACACTACAGTTCAGCAACTCTCATATATATTTTTCTGTATTTAAAATTAATCAAATTTAATCAGAATTCTCAACTCCACAGAACAGAGCCACATAATTTTCCCCCTCCCCCCCCTCCAGCCCACCCCCACTTGGCAAGCATCAGCTATCTAATACCTAGATCTAGCAATAGCCCTTCATGACAGTGGAGTGTTTTGTTTTGTGGTTTTGGGGGGTTTTTTTGTGTTTGTTTCTTTGGTTGGTTTGGTTTTTTGTTGTTTTTTTTGTTGTTGATGTTGTTTTGTTTGTTTGTTTGTTTTTGTTTTTTTCTTGATGCATCTCTCCTGGAAGTTTTCAGCAGTAGTTAGTATGTTAGAAAGTCAAAGGTGTAAAATCTGCACTAGAAGCAGGAAAGCAGAACACAAGTACAGTGCTGCCATGCCACAACTGTAGAGAAATACCAAGCATGTCTGCTAAATAAGGGTTAGGTACTATGGAAGCCCACAACCTCTGGAGGTAAACTTCTACCAGAAAGAAAGCAAAGAAATTTACACTGAATACTGCTGAAAAGTATGTTGCAACAGAATGGCTCTTCTTGCAAATTGAGACTCCTCAGGTAAAAATGCAGTGATCCACAGCAAGTGAAAGTGTTTTACATACACTTAAGTTATATTTAATAATTTTAGTCAGTTCTCTTTCACTAGGGACCTTTAACCATCCAATTAAGGTGACCAATACTTTGGGAAGTAAAAAAAAAATAATAGATGATTTTTTTTTAAATGATACGTGTAGATAGAGATGTATATAGTTATCTCTCTTTCTCTATCCCAATGACTATTTTACAGATAACATTTTACTTGTTCTTTCATTTTTTGTGGATTATAATCCAGGTTTACAACTATTAATTACACATTTAACAGCAAAACAAACATACGCATTCATTCCCTATGGCTCCTAAAACACCTATGCCTTTTTGTCCCCCAGATTAACATCAAAAGTTAAACTATTAGTAAAGGACAGTAACATACTAGGTGTCAATAAGAGAACTTTTTTTGAAAAGTAAATACCTGAGACTAAAGCTACTAGAAGTGCAGTGTTATCCCTGAAAATATATCCATTTCTCCATACTTATTTTTTTTAGGTTTCCTCTCTACTAAAGAATTATGCAGAAATCATTCTCAGTATTGACGTTTTGGCATGATCCAAACGCATATGCTTCATATTTATTGTAAAATGATAAATATGGTATAGTTTCCAAGACTTTTTCCTATTGCATCGTTATAGGAATTCATAGTGAAATTTGCCAACAAAAACCTGATGTCTCCAATGCTAATAAAGACTATGACTGGGACCAGCATTTACCAAATCTTCAAGCACAAGTATAAAAGCATATTTCTAGGAAGAAAAAAAAAAAAAAAAAAATTGCTAAATTTTACTCTAAAGCTTGCACACAATGAGGTATTGCAACTCTGATCTACTTTAGGAGTGATTAAAAAGACTACCATGTACCATGTAGCCTTCTGTTTATCAGACGGTAACTTGAGAACAGCTTGAGGAAGTTTAAATTCTATAAACAAAGTACCAAATGAGGGTCTCCTCCTTGAACGCTTTTGAGTTAGAAGAGACCCATTAACAAAACCAAAGGACATTCCTGAGACCAGTGGTCTGTCTAAAGCCGTGTTCCATCCCCAACACAATCATTAGGAGACACATGGACAGCACATGAGCCTGAGTCACCCATTTGCCACCCACTGTCCCCTGACTCCCCCGAGGTCCACAGCATCCTGCACCGGCCGGTGGAGCGCACAGCTCCGCCTGTGCCACCCGAATCTGCCACGGGCTGGCCATGCGTCCACGTCCCCAGCTCTGCCACCCCACCTGCCTCAGGCACCCCGTCTGCTAACAGACCACCTACGTGCACCTCCCCTGACAGAGCCCGTTCTCAGTCATTTCAACCAGACTTCAGGGAGTGCTCTCCAGTGCCAACATTGCACAGCTGGGTGAGTAACAGCTCCGCAACTGCTTTCCCCACTGCCTTGTGACTCTGTGAGCATTGATCGCTCCCAAATCCCACCGCCTGCTTCAGACGTCGCTTTTAAGGAGTGTGCCTCTCTAGCCCCTCTAGTGAGAGGCCAAAGCTGTGTGCAGTACCCAGCAGGCGGGCAGGTCCCAGGCTTCACACAGTGAAGCCTCCTGTTCATTCTCACTGTTTTCCCTGACAATGAACGAAGTTTCATCGGGATTTGTTGGCAGCTGCCACTAACCAACAGCTTCAGCAAACCACCAGTGAAAGCTCCAAGAACTCCAAGTCAAAACGCCATGTCTTTACAGAACAGGTATAGAGAGAGGATCCCGGTCACTCGAAAGTCACACAGAACATACAAAACACGTAAAACGTGAAAGTAGCAGGAATAGAAATGCCTGTAAAATCTGGAAATGGATAGGGCTGTCACCAAGAGCAAACTCAGTAGGTCAACAATGAGTTCCAGCTTCCGTTTCAGCCGACATTCATCTGGGCTGAAAAGCTCAATGCCAACTGAAAAAGCAGCACATTTCTCTAAATGCATTATGCAGTTTTTACTTAAGAGCCCAAGTACAGAAGGAAGGTTCAGGCACAAAGCCTCCTAACAAATAACAATGCAGAAGAACACAAAAAATGGCAAATTCATTTCTAAAAGGGGAGGAATAAATTAAAAGAGGAGTTTGACTCTGGAGAAGTATAATGGAAACTGAACTGAGGAAAGCAACATACAGTTTCACCTTAAGTCCCTCATTTGAGAAAAGCAGAAATAAAAGGACTTGAATTTGTGTCTCCTATATCAGAGGTAAATGTGTCCTTGAAAATTCTGCAGGGAAACTCTTAAACTTAAAATGTGGCAACTTTATTGACAACACAGAGGTTTTATTGCTTGTGTACATGAATGAAGCTAGTCAAGAACAACAGTTTCCTCCTCAACAGTACAGAGTAGGCCAAAATGAACTCATTAAATAAAATATAAATCAGAGGATATTATTAATCAATAAGAGCAAACACTCCATTCTCATTAGTGGGTCAGTCATGCCTGACTTTTTCAGTATAACTCATTTTCTTAGTAGCTGGAAATAGAGTACTCAAGCTCCTCCATTAACAGAGATAATAGAGACAGAAAATTCAACAGCTTAAAAAAAAAAAAAACAAACACATACACAAAACCAGCTGAACACATATTGTGCTCCATACGCAGAAAAACAGGCTCTACTTTCAATTGGGTATTAGGATGAATTTCTTCACTGAGAGAGTGGTTAAGCACTAAAAGGCTGCCCAGGGAGGTGGTGGAGTCATCATCCCTGGAGGGGTTCAAAAAACAAGTAGATGTAGCACTTGAGCCTATGGTCTAGTGGTTAGGGAAGTGCTGAGATGAAGGTTGGACTTGATGATCCTAGAGGTCCTTTCCAACCATAGTGATTCTATGATTCTACTGAAAAGATTCTCATTTTGATTTTTGATCCTCTTTCTCTTCCATCTGCTATAGGACTCAGCTTTAATAAAGTTTAGTAGCAAAGACAAATAATAACTCACAACAGCAATGAACATTAAAGGCCTTTCCTTTAAAGAACGTATTTTTACACCTCAACAGACAGCACTGAGCCTTTTCAACTCTACTCTTCAACAGTGTCAACTAAACAGTTTAAAGCAAACCTACGAAATACACAGCCCAGAGGACAATTCTCTGGACTCAATTCTCAGTTGCTAGGCAGATGAACCAGGAACTTTTCAGCTGGTTGTTTGATTGTAAGGCAACTAAATAAAAAACAAATCAAAAAAAAAAAAGCTCACCTCTTCAGAAAATACCAGAAGATGACAAAATTAGTGCTACTTCTAAACCACAGGGAGTATTTGAAAACAACAACAAAAAAGCAGACCCTGAGGTTGGGCACACCGCTCACTATCAGCCATGGCCCAGCACTGAAGGGCTTCAGCAGCCTGCTCATTTGTTCAAATTAGTCACCCCCATTCAAGAATTTGGAATAGGTTTTTAAGAGTAAACAGATTGTGTAAGACTTTTCCCTAATCACTTATTCTATGCATTTGAAGCAGGTCAATTTTGTAAGCACAACTCTGAAGTTTCAATTAAGAGCCTTAATGCTTCACTGCATTCTTTAAAAATACTCTTAGTATTGTTTCCCTTAAATTTCAAAATATGAAAATTGATTCAAAGTGCTATGATAAAAATGGATAATTGGCCTCAGCATCACCCAGGACTCTTACCTCAGTTGTTTTACCCTTTACCAAAGGCATCACTCAAAGATAACAAGCACTAACTACACCAACCATTACCAATGCAATGGTTAAACATGAGTTTGTGCTACTTTCAAAAAAAAAAAAAAAGAACAAAACCAAACACAAAAGAAAAAACCCAAACACAAATACCAAAAAAAACCCCACACAACCCAAACCACCCACTAGCTTATTTTCTGCAGTAAGGAGATAATTGATATCGTAAGCATCCTCTTATAAATAACCTTTCCTCAAGGCTGCTCTATGCAAGCTTTTCAGATTAATCAGGGAAAAAACAAAAGCATGTTCAGTAGCACAAGCTACATATGCACCTTTACAAGGAACTGATTCTGGCCTCTCCTACAACATTAATCTGTCAACATTAATAGGACTACTGTCAAAAGGCAAAATAGTGCCCAATGCTAAAATGGACAAACTGTGTTTGTGAATACATTGTTACCATACAATAGTTGGGAGACCAAATTTTTTCTTCAACTTTTTTTTTTTTTTTAAACTAGTGGAAGGCCACGTTTTACAAAAAGGAAGATGACAAATCTCTGCCAAGCATCTTGAACAGTAACTCCAAAAAAAAAAAAGGCATTACAAGCAGAAACAAAATAGTATACAGGTTGTTGACCAGATTTTGTGGTGTCTACTACGCTGCCGAAAGTTTGGAGGCTTGTTTTATAAATCATTCTATCCATTCCAAACACAGTTGGAGGAGGCAAAGCCAGGAATGGAGTTGGGGACTGATTCAGTATCTAATGTTTTGGCTATAAAGTCACTGAGGAGTAAAACAGGCTACATCAGTTTCAGGCTAATCTTAGCCTATGATAATGGAAACAACGCTTAAGTGGAATAAACAGTTAAAATGGAACTATATTTTCCACTTTCACTGTAAATCTCGAGCCGTAAGGCATCAGCGTCCTGACATGTGCTGTGAGCCCCAGCTGAGCAAGTCTGAAATGACTTCAGCACGAACCAGAAGCAGTTAGTCATGTTCATTAAAAACACAGCTGGCGAAGGGAGCACCCATTTCAGCAAAATCAGCTCGCTCTGACTGTACTTGCCCAGGAAGTGGGAGACCTAAGCCTGAGGCGGCTTGAACCCACAGTCTTGGCTGTGCAGTAGCTCAGTTTCAGCAGG